AATATGAAAGAGGCAATGAATACACCTGACCTAGGGAATGAGATATTTATTGAAATTGCACAACATTAATTATGAAAAGTACAATGAAAGCATCCAATATTCCTAATGAAATATTCAATGAAAGTGCACACCATTAGATATGATAGAGGCATTGAATACACCTAACATAGTGAATGAAATATTTATTGAAATCACACAGGATTAATTATGAAAAAAGCAATGAAAGCGCCCAAAATTCCTAATGAAATATTCAATGAAAGTGCACACCATTAATTATGAAAAAGGCAATGAATACACCTAACCCAGTGAATGAAATACCTATTGAAAGCACACAGGTTTAATTATGAAAAGCACTCTGTGGCCTTGCCTATATCTTATGAAAAGAACATAAGTTTTATGAGAAAGAAAACACAGGACACATCTATGAAATGCCTTTCATAAAACTTGTGGACTTATACACACAGCTCTACAGGCAATTGCCTTAGTTTTATCATAAAAGTGGTAGCCACCAGTCTGGCAGTCCTCTATCTTGCACTCACACTCCATTAGACAGCTGAATTTTCCCCCCACAGCGGCTCCCTTCCTTCCTTCCTTCCTGCCCCTCTGCATTTGCTTCTGTGCTTGACTTTCCTTTACACAGTCCCCATGGCTCAGATCTCAGCAGCTATTGACCCTGGTGCAGGTTGCTTGGCTGCATTTGCAACCTCTGTCACATGGGCATCCAGTGCTCTGTTGAAAACCATTCTGTAAGTTTCCATATTCATCTATGTACGCACCCTTGCTGCTGTTGCAAGAGCCACCTTCCATTTTACTTGTCGGGTGTTGTCGTTATTTGGCGTTGTTGTTGTTTTGAGTGGACATTTGGCATGTTGTTCTATTTTGGTTCCCTTCCGTCGTTCCGGAACCCTTTCTTGGTGTTCTCTGGCCCTTCCCCTGTGTCACAGATCTCTCAGATTGGTCACATCGTCGAGACTGTCTATTCAGCTGGTCGCAGCCTTACTTCTTCAAACAGCCTGTAAGTAACTTTATTTTATTTTTCCATTTTTTTTTCAAAAAATAACAATTAATTTTCATTAACTTAATTCATCACCA